GCGTTGGGCGAAAGGTGTCGCTGGAGGCCTGCGATGAAATCTTGGACTTCGTGGAAACGAACATACCGCTTGTTTTTTGTTGCTTTTTTTTTCTCTCCCACCATTTCGTTTGATGTTAACGCGGCTGGCGAGCGCTTCGCTATCGTGTCTGTTTCCTCGTGATTTGTTTGCTCGTTGCTAATGCAGTGTCATGTCACGAGGAGGTCGAAATTATCCGACTGTGTGTTCGCGTCTTGTACACCGTCTGAAGATTGGTTATCTAAATCTTGCTAAGTGTTGACTACACGATTCGTACTTCTGTACTTCTCGAGTCACTGTGAAAGTGTGTGTGGTTTCAGAAAGTAAAACATTTCGTTAAGACAGCTCAGGTTCTCAAATGAAGTTGAAGGACGATCTTGATATTCACACACTCGCAAGTACAAAGCGAAACTTTTTCTCTTGCGTTGATATACCCATCGGATTTAATAATTTTTATTTATTATGGCTTTTCAACGTGCTAACCTTTTCTCCGGGAATAACGATTTTACTGTGCGAGTGGTTAAAAGTTCAACTTATTTACACCAGTAATATAATTTATTCTTGGAAATGCATTTAAGTTGTACATTTCAATTTACTTGTGGCATTTGAAATTCATCTAACGCCTATAAATGATGTTAGCTGTTCCCGACGGACTTCAATTGTGAGGTGAACATCACTCTCTGATTCCCTTACTGTAACTCAATATTAATGCATATTCATTAGTGCATTCATATTATTTGTCACAAACGAAATTATTGCAGAGGATGACGTTCAATACGCTACGTGTAAATGTAATTGAAATATGTTCTCCATGTATGTTTAATTCCATACCCACTCGTCGCCCACACGTTATCTTCTTTACTGACGCAATCATTTTTAGTAGAAATATATCGTAACGAGTGTGTCATCGAAATATGTTTTATAGGGGTTTTGAGCATTATTCTGATAATTTATCGCATATATTCCTAGACCTGGAACTTGTTAGTGCTTCCCCTGCTTGAGGGGAAGTCCCCGCATAGCGCGTGCCCTGCGCTGGGACGCAGCGCGCGTGGCGGCGGATCGCCGCAACAGGGCTCCGGCGCGCGGTTTGGGCAGCCCTGGGCTCGCGCCGAGTGTTTGCTCGCGCCCGCCCGCCTACCGCCCGCGGGGCGACGGAAGGAGCGGGGACCGCCGCCGCTGCCGCGCGGACATATTGCCCGCCTCCAGCGGGAGGGAGCACTTTTTTTTTTTTAGATATCGTCAAATATTTACTTTCATTTTATGGGAAATGCCATAATGGTCGGCGGCCGCGGAGGGCCGGAGGAGGAGGAGGAGGAGAGGGCGGGGAAAGAGAGAGGAGGAGCGGAGGGCGCGAACGGGCGGGATGTGTGGGGGCGCGGGCGGGGCGGGCGGGCGACGGCCAGCGAGCGAGCGGCGGGCGGCGCGAGTGAGACGGACGTCCGGCCTGGACAAATAACCTTCGTCAGCGGCTATTGAAGGGGACTTGTGACAAATATCGCGTGGCGTGTGCTGCGCCAAGCGACCGCAGGCCCGCACGCGCGCGCGCCGCCGCCGCCGCCGCCGCAGAACGAGGCGCTTTGCGTTGGGCGGGCTGGGCGCGCCGCTCCTGCGCAAACACCGCCCCTTCGCCCGCCCGCCCCGCCCCGCGCGGACTCCGGCCGAGTTGCAATTACTGGGCCGCTCCGCCGCGGGCGAAGCGCCTCGCCGCCGTCCTCTGCGACGCGCGACGCTGCGGCCGCCCGACCGCCTGGCCGCGGCGCGGAGAAAGCCCGGATTTTTATTTTATTTTTTCGTAATTGTGTAAGAGGCCGCCACTGCGTGGGGCTGAAGGCTGGCCGTGTGGGCCGGAAGAAGTTGGGCAAGTGGTTGACGTCTAACGTACTCGCTCGTTTCTGTTTTCTCAGACCGGTGTTCTTTTCACAAGTGATTGCTTTTTGTTTTTTTACTGCCCCTTGGGAAAGGTTCACTTACAGAATGCGATAACTCCCAAAGAAGGGAACATTTGACGACAATGCCTTTAGACGCTTTTGTTAATGAGCTCACTTGGACGTAAAGTGATTTGAACAAGTATCTCTGTGTGCCTCTGTGAGCATCGTGAGAAAGCTGTGATATACGATACTGGTATGTTTGGTCTTCATATTTTACTTGTGGCGTCTGCTAGCCGTGTTCCTCCCGGTGTGTTGTTGAGCATGTAAAGATAACTCTACTTGGCTTTTCTGGGCACTTATTACATGATTATTTAGGTGACCATTAGGGCACGTGATGATTTGCCTTCGTCTAACTCTCCATAATTGCAGACGCACCTGGCACAGGCGAGTGCATTATTTAGGTGGGTGTTGTGGAAGCATCAAAGACATTGTAGTATCTGCGATCCGCACCATTCGCTCTGAACTGCCTGCCGTTCTACAAAGCGTCGTCCTGGGTCGTTTCATTATTCTGAGCATTGGCGGCGCCCGGCCCCACGTGATGACTCCTCGGCAGTTCTCCATATTTGAACGTTCCGCGCGGCCGCCCTGTCGCCGTCTGCCGTCGCGCCAGACCGGGGGCCGCAATAAAACCTCGCCCTGCTCGTCGCACGCGCGGCTGGCGCGACCTGGAAAGCAAACAGGCCTCGTGTCGCTTTTGTTTGCAACGTTCGATCCTTCGGCGGTGAGGGGTGGAGGCGGCGGCGGCGCGGCGTAGGCGGTTGTCCCTTCGCCAACGCCACCCCCACCCCCCCACCCCGCGATCTGCCTCCGCCTTTGTCGCCCGCCGCGTGCCTCTCGGCGTTCATTTGTCTTGCGCCGCCTGAAGACAGTAATTGTGTGTGGATTCTTAGAACAGTGCTTGTGTAAAATATGAAGTGTGTTTACACAATGTTAACCGGTGTTTTCCTTTGTTCCAGACGGAAATTGCCAAGAGGCTCAACGCTATTATTGCGCAGATCCTCCCGTTCTTATCTCAGGAGGTGAGTGCTACACTTCGCACACAGCGTGCGTGAGCGCGCGCGCCCGCCCACCCGCCTGTGAACGCAGGGGGAGGGGCGACATGGAACCGATCCAAAGAATCGAATTCATGTTAAGAATTTACGAATTATTAATAAATGAAGAAAGAAATCGTTTTAAAATTTTGTTGAATACTTTTGCGAATTCATTCCCAGAGAAAGCTGTGAATAATAATACGTAATAATATAATAAAATAATAATAAGTAAATATTAATGAAATAATGATACATAATAAGCTTCATAAATTTGACGGGTATAACAAGTAAATATTGGAAAAATAAATTCTTCCTTCTTTTCTTGAAATACTGTTCTTTTCCTGCAAAAAATTAATGCCGTAAACATTACACGTTATACATGAGTAATCATTACAATTACTCATGTGGTTTTTGTGAGATTATTAGGGTTCGAAAGGCTCGTTTTTTGCAATGTCTGTCGACATTGGGTATATTGTTCGTCAAGTAACCATTTTGAAATTACAAATTAGTTTTACTCTGATAAAGGTATCGGAAAGTGTTCCTTAACTTGGTTTCCTTATTTCCGTTTTTTCGGCAGCGGTATATCGGTCGCGGCGGATACAAAGGATGCGTAGGTGTGTGTGTGTGTGTGGGGGGAGAATGAGGGTTGTGAGTGACGCCGGCGCGTTGACGTGGGCTTTGTGTGCGTTGCAGCACCAGCAGCAGGTGGCGTCCGCCGTGGAGCGAGCCAAGCAGGTCACCATGACGGAGCTCAACGCCATCATCGGGGTAAGTGTCTGCTGCGCAACCGGCATGGCTGACTGCCATTCGAATGGCAAGTGACTCTTCTTTATTCCTTTCTTTTCCTTGGTAATGACAGAAATAGATCGTACCTTCTTTATATCTCTTTTTATTCTAGTTAGACCTCTTTGATCAACAATACATGTAACTGTTTTATTATTAAAAGTATTTTATTTTGGAAGTATTCGAGCAACAAATTCCATCGTAATGACAAACCAATTTCGTAATATTCTCAGTGATTGGAAACAGTTTCTTTGAAATCCAAGATCTTTAACACCATTTCGGAATGGTAGTAGGGAATTAGTTTTGGTTCTTCTTCTACATCGAGGCGTTCCATGCGCCTCGCTTGAAGACAACATTATCTTTCGTGCATCTCCGTCGAAATGTTTGCATTCCGATCTCGGCGGCGATCCATATTTACCCAACCCGCAAACAAATCACCTTCCGTCTACATTGTACGTCCGCCGTCCAAACAAAAATACGCGGCGCTGGCGAGGTAGCGAGAAGGCGGCGGCGGCGGCGGCGGCGGCGGCGGCGAAGCCCAAGAGCCCGCTCTCGGGCGCGTGTTTGGCTTAGACACGGAGCAGCGCGGGCCGGTCGCGGCAGTCGGGCTGAGCAGCGTGCGTTTGCTCAGGGCCAGAAGCGCCGCCCGCCCACTCCCCGTCTGTCCGCCCGAAACC